GCCTCATCTGTCCTTGATAGTAGAGATGAAGGTGTTTTCTATGAAGATGCAGGGTACCCTTCGCAACAATGAACATTTCATCAATTGGTTCTCGATTGCCTAGTAGGGAGGCAGCAGTAAATAACAATGTCGTCTTCCTCTCTCTGAGGTCACTCGTCTCAAGAGACTGACCGTTGATTGATGCACCGTCGTGCGCTGCCAAAGGATAGCAGTCAGTATGGGGAGGGCAAATGTGCCGACACTGCCAGAAAGATAGTAGGCACATACTTGGTACCAAACTCCCATCTGAGTCCTCCTCCTTCTCCCCCCTCCCCTTATACACATCTAGATGTGTATAAGAGACAGGTTCGGCATTGCCATTGCCAAAATCCGAGGTCGACGAGTGCAACCCCACACGCCATCGCCCGCCCACATCAGGTGAGCCACCTTCTCCTCCTCCTCCTCCTCCTCCTCCTTCTCCCCCCCCTCCTCCTGCTCCCTCATTGGTGCCAGTTTCATTTGCATCTTCGTTTTCCATCCCTAAAGTGTCCACCATACACGCTTCCACCTCCTTACGCCAGAAGATCTGGCTGACAACAATTACCAGCTGAGCTGGATGCTGAAGCACCCATTCTTTCCTCTCTTTTTTGGGATACTCCTGCAATGCAATCTTCGTCATCCGATGCAGACTGCTGATCATGTTCTGTTCCACAGCCGACAACCAGTTCTCGACGTTGCCACGTGCCTTAAGATTTTTGCCCAGATTCACACGCTCTCCCTCTGCTGACACCATGGCAAAGATGTCTATGCTTCGAGGATCGTCTCCAAAGTCCAAACTTCGAATTCCATCTGAAAGTGTCCATCATCAATCATCACCACCACAAAGCAGAGTCACCAGCCTCTTCATCATCATTATCATCAATCGTAATCGTAACCGTCAATCATCAAAATATCATAATCAATCATCAACTTTCATATTCACCAATCACTATCATGTTTTTTTTTTTTTTTTACTGTATTTTCTTTTGGCAGGGGGGAGGACAGGGGGGAAGAGGGGG